GAAACTTGTCAGCGGAAAAAACGGAAAACTGGGCCCTGGGGGGGTTCTATGAGGCCTCTTCATTCTACCTGGTTTTATGAGGATTACGAGAAGATGTATATTGTATATATTAATATTAATATATATATATATATAATAATAATAATAGTTGAAATATATCGACCCCTGAGCCCCACTATGTATAGCATAGGTAGTAGGTCTAGTATTGGCATGCCGTAGCTATGATTGCATAACATCCCAAGTAGTTACTCCGAATACCTTGTGTACAGTAGTAGCACCTCATACCTAGAAGCGTTAGGTATGTAGATAGCCTAGAGTTTATCCCAGGGTCGTAGTTAACCTTCCCAACAACTACCGGGTAGGTCCTTAACTCCCGCTGTTTGACGCTCATGGCTCAAGTGCACAAAATAGTGTGTGCTTGCATGTTGTGTTGCAGGGTTTGCCGGATTAGTTTCCCCCTTTTCCTTTGGGTGGCTGGTTCGACCCCCTGTTTGTCTGGTTATCAGCCGTAAGGCTTTTGTTGGGGAACCTAATCCGGTAAAACCTGCCTTAGGCCCTAACTTCTTTTCGCACTTCACTGTTCTTTGTTGCATGCCCCCAGGCAGTTCGGAACAGGTCGCTGCTGATTCCAGCGCGACGGTAACTCCAGCCGAGGGAGTCGAGGCAGCTGAGGAAGCAGAAAGCGTTGAGGTGTCCCCTCCGTGGCCTGCTGAACCAGTAGCTGAGACATCTCAAAGCTGGGCCGATCTGTCTGAGGTACAAGCGCCCGTGCCTTCTGGTGTCGACTCCATTGTGACAGACTCTACAGATCCTCAAAGGTCACTGGTAGAGGTTAAGGAGGAGATCCACGAGGCCGAGAGCATCAGTGCGGTAATTTCAGCAATTGGCCTGCCAGAGGAGGTCGCTGACGATCCCGTCGCGACGGAAGAAACTGGGGTTGACACTTCACTTGAAGATCAGTCATTTTTGGAACCACCTTCTGATTTGGGTAACCCAGCGGAAGCTGCTTTCACGGACATTGATCGAGCAAAAGAAGAAGAAGTAGATCCTCAACAAGATTCTTCAACTCTTCTGGAACAGGCCGAGTGCGAGATTGACACAACAGATTTTGCAGATCCAGCTGAAGAAGAACAACAACAGGTCGAATCTGCTGATCTTTTGGGCTTAGGTGACGAGGCGGGTCCAGTAGGAGAAGCATCCGTTGCATCCGAACCACCCGCATCCGTGCCTGAGCCTGCGGTCGCTGACACATCCGGTGTCGCGACAGAAGCCAACACTAGTTGCCCCGATCAAATAGTCCCACCACCAACTAGCCCTAATCTTGTTGACCCAGGTGCCGATCCTATCCAAGTAGGACATTCCCCCGCTAGTTCATCAACAGCCCATCGACCAAGGGTTCGATCCAGCAGGGGTGGTACCACAACCAGGTGGCAAGAAGCAAAGCGAGCTTGGTGGAACGACTTCGAGGCATACCAAAATTGGCTTTACCATAACTCCGGAGGGGATTTCGTAGGTGGCTTTTGGTTAAGAAAGATTTCTTACGAATACGCCGACGAAAGCACTCGCTGGTTGATAGCTCTTCATTCAAGACTTGTTGAGGAGTTCCCAACATCACAGTGTTTAGCTTTGGCCTACCAGATCCTCATCCCTTACAAAGAGTGGGCTCACATCTACGGTTTGGACAGGCGCAGAGGTATTTCACACGGTGAACAAGTGATAAACTCTGGTGAACTACCCCCTAAAAGGATCATCAATCAACGCATCTTAGGGGCAGAGCACCCGCGCCCAGAAGAGTGGGATAGGTATTATAGATACGTAGGCCCACAGCAGCAACCCCGTCCAAAAGTGGTAAGGCCTGCTGCCGCAACACCCGTTGCTGGCGCGGCAAGTGGAGGCACAGATCCGACTCCGGTCCAGCAAGGACCCAAAGAGCCTGGGCACCCACCGCCGAACTGGCAACCTTCTTTGAGAAGGCCACCTGAGCCAGCAGTGCCACCGCGTCCAAGGGTTACTGTCTCTGTCCATCCGGTCCCACAAGCCCCAAAGTCAGATTCTCAAGGGGTCGCCGCCTTTGGGCGCGACGTAGCACCAGTCCCAGTTGCTAGCCCTGCTAAGCCACCAGCTAAGGCTAGGCCTAAAGCTCCTGATTCTAGTGCCACAACCCTTGCAGATAGAATTCAAGGTTTGCCACCTCCACCTAATAACATTCCCCCTAGTCCGCCCGTTCATAAACAACCACCTTTACCACCACCACCATCTCATCCGCCGCCAACTGCACAGGAGCTCGCTGCCCGCAGTTCCCAGCCAGCAGAGGCGCGAGAAGAGGCTGCTCCGGAGGATCCCAACGATCCACCGCCTGAAGAGGAGCAGTGGGTGGAGGAGGAAGAGGAAGAGGAAGTTTTGGAGGAGGACGAAGTGGTTGAAGTTGAGGTTGAGGCCGAAGCTGAACCCGAATTCCCTGACTTTGTAGCAACAGAGCACGGCCGTGAGGTTTCCACGCGCCGTCGTAGGCCTAAAAGAACTAGGTCTAATCCGCCATTGCCTGTCAATCTAGTCCCAAGGGAAACCCGTGAACGCATTGAACTTAATCAAGAACTTTATAGGGCCCGAACCATAACCGGTGTTTCTAGGAGACCTCTTGCTTTAAGACCCCAAGTGCACGGTTACCCCGAAATTAGAATTGACTCCGCTGGCACCTGGGCTAGGGTCGCTGATCCTCCGATCGCGTACGCGCCGCAGACTTTGCCGTTCATTGTGCCTCACGCCGTGGCACCAGAGCTTGGGGTCAACCCACACGAGCTTCCCGACTCGTTGTGGCGTGATCCTGCACTTAGATCCCATCGGACTGTTCTTGGTTCAAGTAACTTAGACCCTAATAGTGTTTATAATCTTGACACCAATAACCCCGGTACCGAATCTGAGGGCTCTGAAACTGCTGAGACTCGAACCGCCAGGTTTGTTTCATCAGGTCAGGCATTTGTCGGCCAGCAAGAACCGTTCGACGCTGGCTTCGCTGAGCGCACCCCTGCCCGTCCAATTGAGTCTCCACCAAAGAGACAGCGTCCTAACATAAGAACCTCCCGAATCCAACGTGATAAGCCGGCACAGCCCAGAAAAGATCCAGTTTCTGCTGCACCAACAGCACCTGCAGCCCCAACAGTACCATCTTTGACTGTTCCCCCATTAAGCGGTTCTAGTAGTTCAGCTTATCCCTGGAGGCAGTCTTTGCAAAAAGTGCTGGAACTGGGGTCGCTGACACAGCCCGTGTCGCGACAGAGACTGCATCAGAGCCAGCCGGCTCTCCCGTTGCGCGATCCAGGTCAAGAGCACCCTCAGCCGAAACTGCGCCCGCAGTTGCTGCCAGAACAAGGGGAAGGGAAGTACCAATTTCCAATAAGATTTCATCTAAGTCTCGCAAAAGAGCTAGTTCCGTTCCTGTGCCAATCCGTGCAAAGGGGGCTGCTGTCCCCGACGCGCCCCAAAGGCCAGAACCGTTGCCACCAGCTCCAGAGAAGAAGAAGAATCTGCCTTGGAAACATCCACCTGTGTCAATTGCGCCTGCAGCACCTGCTGCGCCTGTGGCACCTGCAGCACCCGCTGCACCTGTAGTAATTCCCCCAAGACCTAATAGGCCAGTTCCCCCTAATCCAGCTAACCTTAAGCCCGTAAAACCTCCTCCGCCAGGAGTTGGGGGGCCAAGACCTGCTGGTCCACCGTCCCGAGATTTGCCTCCGCTTGATCCCGAAGGACAGCAGCAGCCGCATCAAGAGCAAAGCTCAGGTTCTGGCCTTGCACCCCACGTCCGTGGGCGGCCTTTACCTGACCCAACACCAGATCGGCCTGAGGGGGTCGCTGGCTCTGTGCCGCGACATTACCAGCACCAACCCAACTTAGTCTCTAAGGTAGTCCACGTTAATACATCCAACGTAGTTGTTTGTATCGACTGGCACGATACCATTGACCAGGCTCTCAACCCCGTAGGTGAATTGTCTTCCCATTTAGTTGATAAGCTTCGGTCATTGACTAGGATTGCTGGTAATCAAATTGAGTTCCACATTGTCTCATACGCCGGCCAATCTAAGATTGACAGCACCAAGGCCGGTGCTGAGCACGTGATTAGCCAACTGATTGCAGAAGGATTGCCGTTTAGAGAAGTGCACCTGGCACGCTATCCTTGCGGTAGGCAGGGCAAATCCTCTATCATCTCCGCTCTTCAGGCACATCGTCTCATCGACGACCGTTCTGACATCCTGAACGAGTGCAGGCAACTCGGCATTAAAACCATCCGATCAGAGGGGCGTTCTGACAGGGAACTCTGCTGGATTGCAGAGGTAGAGGACTGGTTACGTCTTGAAGGGGTCAGCCAGATCCTGGAATCTCGCCGCCCAGTTCCTCTTAGGACCAATCAATTTTACCCCAATTTTGGGGGCCAGGACGATAAGTCACTTTGGTAGACCCTGGCACAAGTCCAGCGGTTCTACAGCATCCGATAGGCTTTCAACGCCGAGGTAGCTGAGCTTGCTCGCTACGTTCGTCGGTCTGTCCTTGTCGTTTGCCAAGTGTCCATTGTCCAGTTGCCTTTTGCCTTTTGTTTTTAGTTCAGTGTTGTTTTGCGGTCAGAGCTAGGGTCATTACCGCTAGCGAAGCCGTATTGCATCCGAACTTCAACACAACTTGAATTAATTTCAATTGCACTTTATTATCTTAATATCCAACTTGCGAAGACTTTGTTGGTTGAGGTAGTATTGTGCTGCATTGGTCTTTTGTCCCATCACTGCACACTTTTGCTTGGGACGCTGAGCAAAGCTCGCGTTGGATCACATCGTTGCAGTTGAGCGCAAAAGTTCAGCCGAGTTTGGGTCAAGATGTCAGGCATTTCTCCCCCTTCTGATCCTAGTTCATCTAACAGTAGGTCAAGGAGTAGTCCTGAAACTTCTAATCCAAATGCAACAAGGGTCCCGGCGGTTGTTACCTCCCTGGTTCCACGAAGAATCCAGTTG